AACCACTTCAGGGCACTGAAGTGGCTTGTCTAGTAACACCAGATGCCAGTCTTGAGAGACTGGTTCCCTTAGTAGATTTTCTGGCAGCGTGGAAACTTCTGCCGAATGTTTCACAATGGGTCCTTCAGACTGTAGAGAGAGGTTACAGAATTCAGTTTGGTTCTCGTCCGCCTCGCTTCAAGAGAAGCAGGCTGAACCAGTAAAAAGCAAGTTAGACGAGCGCTTTTTACGGTCTAAGCCACTCCCTCCACACCAGGGCTTGCCTTTCTTCCCCGATCTCCACACCAAGTTTCGAGATCGTGGGCAAGACCATTCTCGGCCCGCCTCTTTAGTCCCGTGCTCGTCAACTATTCCAATGTTTCGGGACTAAATGAGCGCAGTTACACGGTTTCGTTGAAAGCCCCAGCACTGCCCTCCAAGCCGCTTCGTACTACATCGGCGCTGGTTGTCAAAGGGTACACTGCAGCAGGTCAGGCTGGTGCTTGCCTACACACCATGGCAGTACTGTAAGCGTACCAAGCAGACCTGCTAAAAGAGCTGGATGAGGCTCCACGAAAGATACTGCCAAAGCAATAGGGTGGTCTATGGCAGCATTAGTGGCCACGGAGAGGCATCTTTGGTTAATCCTGTCTGATATTAAGGAAAAGGACAGGGTCTTCCTCCTCGATGCCCTGCTTGTGCCTTCTGGCCTGTTCGGCGAGGCCGTCAATTTCGTCGTCAAAAGGTTTCAGGAGGCTCGTAATCAAGCGGCGGCATTTCAGCGGTTCATACCTCACCATGCGTATATGGTAGGGCTTGCATAGACTAGTCGAGTGATCGACTACTTCAACCACTAGACGGCGCTGTCGGAAACAATCGACTACTCGAGCATGCATTAACCATAATGCATGCACAGAGTCTGCAAGTACGATGTGAATTTTAGGATTACAATATTGCATGTAGCTGTTACTTTCTATGACTTTATCTATGCTGCATGTAAAATTAAAATATGTAATATAATAATTGGGGTTGTGAAAAATTAATAACAGACATGGAATAATTCTGACTGAATATTCGGCTGAGGCTGGCACAGTCTGGTGTTTGCTAAATAGCAGTTGAGCCCAGGGGATCAGTGCAATATTATACACCGACCTCTAAAGTCACGCAATAGAGAGTGAAGTGAATGAATGTAAACTTTATGAATGAATAGAGCGCAAATCAAACACCGCATTGCTGTTGCCTCTCCATGCATCTCAGAAATCAGAGCTTGGCAAGAGTAATATCACCTATAATAATACATCATACACTTTCTATTATTTGTATATATTTAAAAGGCAATGATTTAAACCTTAGGCTACAATATGATACGAATGAATTGTAGCGTTTGGACCACTCCAACACACAATATATATTTTGTTAGCTAGATTTCACAAATACTTTGTAACACCCCAGGACGCCGAACAAGACCCTGGTTTCATGGTAACCCGATACATTTACAACCTTGTGGAATGCGAGCCGGCTCTCATTCTGCTTTCTCCAGAAACAAAGGGACACAAATGCACAGGAGAAATGGACTTTTCTACTAATTAATTCATAGGAAAACCTTCTTTGAATGAACACCCATTTTCTTCAGGCCAGTGTGTATATTATTGCTGTGTTGTATTTAATCTGTTGTATTATAGACTAGAATAAGCACAGCACGCTCACCAATCAAACAGCCGCGTTGCATTTCTCAGTCTCTCAAAAACCAAACCAGCTTTCTCTCAAGAGTAGGCTAATAATCAACTTGGATACAGATACATTTTCTACTAGGCCTACATGTCTGCATCTTTAACTTTTGCTGGTTTGCGTGGCACACGCACATTTGTTTAGTGAAGTTCAAAAAAAGACTCGCTTAAAGAGTTCTGCGTAATGTTAATGTGCGCATTGAATTAATTCAGTCATGTTCAAATGATCACTAAATGTTTGTCATGACATCTCTCTGCTTTTTAGAAATTTTAGAAATTAATCATTATTTTAGTTTAACATGGCATACTTGTCTTATCAAGTAACTGTACGACGTTCCACCTGGTTTTATCCGAATGCAGATACAAATAATTTTGTGATTGTTACAGATACAAATACAGATACAAATACTGGCTGTTACATGGAAATTAAAATATGTAATGTCATTATTATAAAGTTTTGACAATTTACATATGTAATTGTTGCATTTGGCTCTGAATTAATAAGCATTTATTGATAAGAACTATTTCATGTCTTTTCATTTACAGCAGCATGAACCATGAGTAGTCGAGTAACTCGAGTATTTTTTAAATAAGAAATCAACTAGCAGAAATCAGTAGTCGTGCAACCCTTAGTATACGGTTACATTACGTATGTAACCCTAGTTCCCCGAGGGAACGAGACACTGCATCTCCTGCCATACTTCCGGCATCCCTGCAAGCGCTTCCTTCATTCTACCAGAAGCTGCCGCTGTATCCACTGCACGTGCTTTTATACTTCCTGGTCTCTACGTCACCCCATCCGTGACGTCTCGCCCATCCATTGGACTGATTGCACACGTAAAAGGCATTCCCAAAGCGTCTCGACGCAGCGTCTTGTTCCCTCAGGGAACTAGGGTTACATACGTAACCTAGAGGTGTTTCTTCACTTCCTTGTCCAGTAGAGGTTATGCATTGATGTCACTTTCCCGCCGGAACATGCCCCCTCAACCGGACTGAGTGGCAAAAGAGCCTGCCGCCTGAATGGATTTAATAGGGAAGTTGTAAAAATGTGAGTAAAACAAACGATAATCAGTTTAAACTAAAGGTTCATTACAACTTACTATATATCCAGTGTCCATAGATATTGATATGCAGCCAGGAATCATGTGTCCTGACATTTATATTTGATGCCGGGGGGAAAAATAAAGCAAATTTGCCCGTGAACGCATTTTGTAAATACAAAATAGGTTGGTCTAAATCCGGGTGATCAATTATATCAATGTTATACGTATATATCGTCCAGACCCAAAACTTATAGTTTTTGTCAGTGTTTGTTTAAAAACATCCAGTTATGAATTTAAGATGGTAAATATTTAATTGATGATTGTCAATACGATATATTATAATACAATATATAGGGTATGATTTTACCTCAAAATTCAACATATTAACATGAAATGATAACTGCAAATCCGTGTTTCGCTGCCTGGAGTCCATTTGTTTCTGTGAATTGCAGCGATTCATTTGCTTCTCTCTTCTGTAGCTTTCGGCAGTCTGTAAAAAATATAGCTCAGATTTCTTGTCAAATCTATTTGTACAGTAAATCGCAAAGATCTTTCTCGTTTTAGATGTGTTTTCTTCATGCTGAAAACCAATGCTGCCATTCAGTCTTTTTGCCATTTAGAGGGCGGATCTGCAGTCCCTCCAGCTGACAGTGACGTCACGTGCATACCCCTCTATTGTTGTGAGTTGTGTTGTTACAAGCTGTTTTGCTTGACTTTTCATCAGTGGATTACCTGGTTTAGTTTTAATAAATACATTTTTTTATTCGAACCCTCATTTGGAACCTTTTTCATCATCATTGCATGTATGCATGTACAGTATGTACCAAAAGGTCACAATGACATTTTTTATTAAAGGCAAGTTAAGACATTGATTACATTGCACTGCTATGATTTATTTATTGAAAACAAGACTTGATTACCAATATTCATGTTTTTATGGGGGTAAAACCAACCTCCTGCATGCACTTTTGCAATTCAGTTATTATTACTATTATAATAATGCAATTGTCCTAGTCCTAGTCACAGTGAAACACATGATGTTAGTCCAAATGGAAATGTAATGCAAATATGAATGCTATTTTATTTCAGCTTTTGCCTGTAACATTTGCATCATGTCAGGCTCAAGTCTACAAGCTAATAATTCTCAATAAGTCACTATTTCACATATTCAATCCTTTTGTATATATACTTTATATATTAAATTTGGCTAAAACTGCTGTTACTGTGACACCAGTATTATAAAACTACATGCAGAAAGCATTTTGTGCCTGGGAAAAAATCTGCTTTAGTAAATAATTCATCAACATATTAAATTGGTACTGCTATTTTTTCATTATACATTTTTATGGTCTAAACAAGATATTTGAATATACAAATAATTTCCTGTGTATGTGTAATGTGTTGTAGTTTTTGCACTTCTGCTCTATTGTACCGCTATTGTACACTTGCCCTGGCAGCACTATTTGTCTCCCTTAGATTAATTCCTTCTTTTATTATTCTCGTTTGTAAGTTGCTGTGGCTAAAGGAAGAAATAAAGGTAAATGTAGTTATTTTCAAATATTTAGGCAGCTGATTGAGCCCTTGGCTGAGAGTTCAGCATCTGTGCATTTACTTAGCAGTGAATGTTTGCATTAAATGTTTGCATTCTGCTCCATTATTCTCAAAGGCAAATGCTTTTAGCCTTTTAGCCTTTAAATGCTATTAAAGATTTGTTTTACTAATTCTGATTTCCATTTCTAAACAACAATCCATTTGGTCTGATGACATAAGTGAAAGTAACTTTATGACTATGACAGATTTTAGACTTTAGACAGATTTTTATTCTTTCTTTCTTTCTTTTTCTTTCTTTTCTTACAACTGGGCTGTCAGTTGGTGGAGTTTGCATTTATTTGGTCAAAGATAGTAATAAATATTTCTTTATTATTCCGTGTAGTTGTGTGTAAAATTTACTTTAAAACTATATGCACCTAACATTTCACCTTTTGAACTGAATCCAGGCAATGGATGTTATCATCCATGCTTGGTTAATTGGTAGCCATTTTTAAGGGGTATAGCAGAGCAAATAAAAAACAAACTGTTTTTGTATATTGTTTAGATGAGAACCAAATCTGGGAAGCACACACTCAAACTTAAGTTAACCTAAATAATTTAAACTTGACTTAAATAACGTTATTTTGAAGTAAAGATTTAACACATTAGCAAGCCAAATAAAACATTTTACACATACTGTATGTTTGATGATGGCAGAAAATTATACTTGTTACAGTCAAGGCATTTCCACAGTGGTTGTTTTCATTATGGCAAACTGTGTTCTTGTTAGCATGTGGGTTCATAAAAGAAACTCATTCAAGAACATTAAACATGAACAGGTCTGCCCATTTTTTTCCATCTTGCTAAAATTATGCTTAAAATAACACTTTATTTTAGCATTTATTCTCCCTATCCAGTTTCACGCAAAGCATGATGAAAAGTTGTCATCTTTTTCCATGTTTGCTACTTTTAACCAGCAACAACAATCACTTATGTAATCACAGCTCAAACGGATTAAGTAAATTGACTGAGCACAATGAAATTGTGAAAAATCTTGAAAGAATTGTTTAACTTGTTTTAAGTGCATTGAGGTAAAATCCATGTTTCATGCCATATTTGCCTGTCCCCAGTTTCTTAGAAATATTATGACTGGTTAAATGCACCTGTTCTGTTTGCTCTGTCTGTAAAGATGTGCTGTGATTGGTCACACCATCACACTCATTTGTCATTGTCTGTATATCAGTTTAAGTAAGAGAGAGTCAGTGTCATCGTGTACAATTCTGTCATCAACTGAGAGAACCTCTTCACTCAATGAAGATGAAGACAACACTTGCTGTGCTGCTAGTCATGGAGCTCTACGGACTCTCCTCTGGTCTCATTAAGCAACATTTCTTTGTGAAAGATGAGAAGACATGGGATTCTGCAAATAACTACTGCAAAACTAATTTTCATGTCTTCTCCACCTTTACCAATGACAACGAGCAACAGCAATTTTTGGAATATGCAGTTAATGAATCTTATGATGCCTGGGTTGGACTCTATACAGAATCAGGAGTCTGGAAGTGGTCTGGAGGTGAAATTGCAACACAAATTAGCTGGGATACTGATCAACCAGATAAAATTGATGGCTGTGCTTTTATACACAAAGGTCTTAAGAAACTACATGATGCAGAATGCACTGCTAAATATGCCTTTTTCTGTATGACCGTATCAGAGTTTCTTCTGGTGCGTCAGAAAGAGACCTGGGATGGAGCTCTGGAATACTGCAGGACTCATTATAATGATCTGGCAAGTCTGAGCACAATAAACAGGATGCATTCTGCTTTACCGGAAATGACAAGGACTGAAACAGAATATGTGTGGACTGGTCTGCGCTTTCTAGCAGGGGACTGGTTCTGGGTCAATGGAGATGATCTTGACAACATAGCCTGGTATCAGAGGAGACTGCCCCAGTGTCCTGACAGAGACCTTCGTTGTGGAGCCCTGGACAAGCAAACAAAGCTTTGGACACACAGAAACTGTGAGGAGAAGCTCAGCTTTGTTTGTCAGTAGAAAGTACAATGAAACAAATCAATTCATGAAAAAGAAAAAAGGTAATGTTTTCTTAAATAAAGATGCCCTTGTCTTAAGAACAGTTCAGACTTTGTGTTAACTGTGAATTTGGTGTTTAAAACAAACATACAAAACTGTTTATGTGCAAATTGGCGTTTGATGCTAAACTTACCCTCTCATCTTCTCCTGATTATAGAGTCCATCAGAAACAAGACAGTAATTCATCTCCACTTGATATAAACTTCACTCATAAGCAGTCTGCACACATCTGGATCATAACTAATAGAAGGAATGAATATAATATAGACCAGAACATAATCTACATGTAGGTAGAATAGCTTAGTTGTATACATTATAAGAGTATCGAAATATAATAATAATAAATATAACTGTAATACATTTTCAACATTAAAAATGGTAAGAATTAAGGGTACAGTTTTTTTTTATTCTTATTCTCAGTATGAACACTGATATCAGTATCAACTGGTCATCATTTAACAATTAAAATATGACACTATGTTATAATACTGAAATATTATTATATGTAAAACATAACACATATACACAATATTCCATTATTCAAAGCAGTTTTACATGGAATATTGTGATGTTTCGGTAGATGAGAAAGAAACTCAAAAATTGAAAAAGTTGGTCAAAACCCTACATTACATTTACAAACACACAGACTAACCTTCAGCTGCAACTTATAGAAGCCTTTTTTATTTACCTCAATTGTTTTAACTGAATGCAGGGGATTGTGTGATATCAAAGACAGCAAAGGATACATCTGTGCTGCCTTCAAAAATCGATCAGATAAAGATATCTCAGGAGACAGGAAGTGAAGCTAACATTAAATTCGGACATGCCTTGATGCTGTTCAAACTTGGAATGCATCGTTCAAAGGCTTTTTTTTTTTTTTTTAATCTTTTGGATGCAGCTGAGGTTTGAAAAGTTGCTAAATCAAGCAAAAATCAAGTTGCTAAGATGGCAGCAATTGTCAGTAAATCTGACCCAGCAGCTACACAAAAACGACCTAGCACCTGTATAAAAATAATAATAAAAAATAACCCATCATTTGAGTGTATTAATTATAATTTCTTGTCAAATTATTATAATAGTTACAATTATTTCTAATAAATAGGAGGGATGCAAACAGTGTATGGCAGATACTCGCAGCTGTGGGTTCTCCTGGAAACATGGCTGGGAACTTCTTGTCTAGAGAACAACATAGGACATAAAACTGAGCCTTGTGGCACACCATACTTTACAATTATTTAGTCAAATAAATGTTTATTTACTCACATGAAGTAGTAGCTAACTCAGGCCAATCCACAAATCTCAACACAATTTTCAAGGAATACAGAAGAAGGTTATGATTTATACCAGGGTTCCTCAAATCTTGTCCTGGAGGGCCAATGTGCTGCAGAGTTTAGCTCCAACCCTGATCAAACTCACCTACCTGTGATTTTCTAATGATCCTGAAGACACTGATTAGCTTGCTCAGGTGTGTTTGATTAGGGTTAGAGCTAAACTCTGCAGGAAAGTGGATCTCGTGGGCCAGATTTGAGGATTCCTGATTTATACCATCTATAAAAATATATATTTTTTGGCCCTGTCCACACGAACGCAGTTATTTTTAAAACTGCAGCTTTTTCTACGCGGTTAGGCCGTTCGTCCACACGCAAACGCAGCACCAGGTCACTGAAACCAAACATTTTTGAAAACGCCTGCCTGGGTGAAGATTTAAAAAAACTCCGGTTGCAGTGTTATTGTGTAGACAGCGAAACCAGAGTTTTTGGCTTGTGACGGCGGCGCCTGCTCTGTTATCTCCGCCTACTGGAAACTTTTTCAGGCTTCTGATTGGCCAACATGGATTTACGGTTGAGATTATATGCCCACCTGTTGGTTTGGCATGCTCTTGACAGTGATTCATAGCATGCGATTGCGTTTTCATGTGGACGGAGATTTTTTTAAAAACGGAAGAAGGAAAAACTCAGTTTATAAAAATACCCGTGTACGTGTGGACATGGCCTTAACCGCTACATCAAAATAAAACAAGAACGGACAGATGTGTTGACAGTTTTTGTTTTACTGAATATCCCAGAAAATGAATGAATGCTGTATGAGGTGTTCGAATTGCAGCTGTTTTGTGCAAGTGTTAATAGCCGTGTTTAAAAGCTCTCTTAAGTGCATCATACCAAACTGCTGTATAACACAAATAATGGAAAAAAAAATGCAAGTAGAAAGGTAACTGGGTTTTAAGTTTTTGAATGCTAAATGATTTGGATAAACAAGAATGATAATTAACCTCTTAAGACCCCGCGGGCTCATATGAGGACATTATATTTTGAATTTCTCTGAGACTGTACATGCCACAGTTTTAATTCTGGATGTACTGTGCAGAGCACATTCAGGGCTTTCCAGAGATACTAAATGTTTGGATGTTTCATCATGACCACTCCCTCTCCTTGGTCTTCAAAAATGTCTGAAATTAATTTAGTGACACTCTTATGGAAATATGATAATATTTTGTAATTATCATTTAAATCTGACAAATTTTTAAACTGTGTGTCATAAATCAACATCTCAGGAAAATGTTATGGGGTTTCAAATCAAAATATGACTTTCTGTTACGAAACAGGAGGTTGATTTCATACATGTCCTCACATGAGGACACTGGGACTAAAAGCATGTTTGTAGCACAAATAAAATAAATATCTTCATATAAACAAAATAAGTCTTTGTCTGTGCTCTTTACATTTAAAATGAGAGGCAACCAAATTACATTATATTACAAATTATATTGTATAATTTCAAAATTTTAAGCAAAAACAGAATGGTTTGACTTCAGTTTTGTGAAGCTATGCATTAAAAATATCTGCATGAAACAGAAACAGCAGACGAGCTGAATGAGACCCAGATTCACTCTCTGCCAGCAGGTGGCACTTAAAGCGTTTCCTTGGTTTCTGCTGTAAACAAAGCAGCGCTGCACTTATGAACTTTAACATGCATTATACAGAGGCAAGAGGAAAAGAAAAAAAAAACATCTAAACTTTTCTAAAGACAGTAAGTTCCCCTCAGACATACATTCATATAAACTCCTACCCCTAATTGAATCGCGATTTGTTTAGCATCTCAACCGATTTGAATTGTCACATATTTAAATCGATTTTCAACCGGCTCGCGGTTAATCGTTCCATCCCTAGTGTCTGGAGAGAGTCTATCTCCGATCTAGAGCACAGCCAGACCCAGAGCCCAGCCCACCATCTCCCCGCTGCGCTGAGCTTAAGCCGGAGCCCACCGATGACGGAGAGCCAGCTGCAACCAACGAGCCATCACCAGAGAGAGCTGAGGATCGCCCCGGAGCCCGAGCCTGTGACGTCAGACTGCCGCCGTCATCTGGCAGCCCCTCTGCTCGCCCTGAGCCCACCATCTGTATGTTGTGAGCTCCGCGGGTCTGCCATCCTCCATCGTCCCCGTGGCTGGAGGATCCCCTGTCTCCGCCTCCAGCCTCTGAATCCCGGACTCCGCCTCGGCCCGTCAGCTCCACCATGACTCCAAGCTCCCTCCTCTCCGCTGTGGCCCATCAGTCCACTGGCTCCACTGGGCTCCCTCGTTCCTCTGGCTCCGCCTTAGTCTGTCATCGATTATCCGTCGCCTCAGGACTCCACTCCTCCGGCTGCATCTCGTCCCTCTGTCCTTCCGGCTCTGTCAGGCTCCTCCTTCCCTTCGGCTCCTCCTCAGTCCTCTGTCACTCCGGCTCCACCGCGGCCTTCTGGTTCCCCGCCATCTGCTCCGCCTTGGCCCTCCGGATTCTCCCCGTTGCCCTGGCTCATCGACTCTCTGTCTCTGCCTCGGGCCCACTCGGCCACCTGCTCCGCCACAGTCGGTTGGCCCCATGGAGTCGTCAGCCCTTCCTCCTCCGTCGGCTCCTCCCTCCGTCGGCTCCAGTGTGGGTCGTTATCATGGCTGTGGCCTGGGTCCCCCCTGGCACTGCCTGCTCCAAGTCCCTCCTGTCTCCGCCCTGGCTCCTCCCTCCTTCATCACCTCCCTGGACTCTGTCTGCTGGCTTCCTCCCGGGTGTCCGTCTTCCTCCTGAGCCTCCTCCCAAGTTCCCTCCCTCTGTTGTTTCTACAGCGAGAGGACGTGCCTTCTAGGAGGGGGGCGAAATGTCAGACCTGTGCTCCCTGTAACCCAGTTTCTCCCTCACGTTGATTGTTCATTGATGGCAGGTGTGTCTCATCTTGTCCCTCGTTATCCTGTGTATTTAGCCCCAGTCTGTGCAGTCGGTGTTTGTCGGGTCTACATGTTGGATTGAGTGTGTTTACCCCTGTTCCTGATGTGTATTTACCCCTGTGATTCTCTAATTAAATACCGTTTATTTTATCCCCGTCTCCATTGTTTCTTCCAGCAGTGAATCGTGACAACATGTTTAAAAGTTGCCTTTTTCTTCATTAATATTTAACCGGATTTAAATGTTATAAGTTACCTTTCAGGCTTCAAGGAATGACTAGTTTTTTACTAACTCAACAGTTATTTCAGTGTATGGAATAATTGCTTTCAGTGTTGCATTTATCTCCACAAAGTATATGAAATAAAGAGGAACCAAAATGAAGAGCTGAATTAGTAAAGGTTAATCACACCACACCAGTCTTGCACATAAATAACACTTTTGACTATGTGTGGAGTTATTTTTTCTACTCTATTTTAAAGTTAACTGCTAATATATCTCTAGAAAATGTGACAACACAAACAGTAGCCTGGAGTTTAGTTTAACTCTATAAGAATGAATTTTACATGGCCAGATTTAAACTATAAAACAAAAAAGATGAATTACCTTAATTGTGAAAGGTTATTATTGAGTGTAATAAATGCTGATTACAATTTGGATTTACAGTTTAGATTATTGTTTTTCAGTGTTTTGAGACATTCTATGTTGTGTGCCATGAAAGCTACTCTCATCTCTTTGTGATACTTTATCCGTGTTCAAAAAAATTAAT